GCAAACCCACCATGGGTGACAATAATTATAATTTTCTTGTATTATATACTTGTTGTGGATTACAACAGATCCATAGGCTTTATATACTATCATTATTTCATTTGTTGGCTTATTGTGAAGATCAAGATAGAGTTAACACTACCTTTTATATATTAGAAAACTTAGCTGAGAGCAAAGAATACTACTTGTAAATGAAAAGGGAGGGGTGTGTCATTCCTGAATAATGGGGCCAAAAGAGAGAGACTAAGAAAGTAGAACAAGGAGACATCAGAATAGGAATGATATCATTGGTCTCATCACACCACATGTTTCTATGCTGAAACACATATATATTTAGCAAAACAAGAGCAAAGATATAGGTGGACTGTAGCCCGGTATTGTCCATTACAGTAACCACTAACTTCATGTGGTAATTTAAATCAAATCAAATAAAAAAATTCAGTGCCTTGTTTGTTCCAGCCACATTTCAATGCTCATTAGCCACATGTGGCTATTGGATAGCACAGATAAACATTCCCATCACTGCAGAAAGTTCTATTCAACAGCATTACTCTAGCAGAAAACCTTGAATGTATTAAAAACAGTGACACTTCATGGACGGTGTAGAGCCCTGACCACTGCACTGTATATCTGAAGCTGCCGTTGAATAATATTGTATGTCAACTATAATTTAGTATATATATAGTCACAGGATGTGGAGTACAGTATGGGGATTGGAGTCAATGGAATTGTAATAGATATGAACAATATCGGGGGTGGGAGGGCAGTGGATTGGGAGAGGGGGGTTGTCACTTTGTGAGGGGTGAAAAGTATAACTATTGCATTGTTTTGTATACCTGAAGCTAATTAAAAAATAAAAATAAATAAATAAACAATAAAAACAGTGGCAGACATTCAACTAATATTTGGTGAGTGAATAAATGATAAAAGACAGGCCTCAATAGGCCATTTAAAGAACTAGCCAGAGGAAAAGCAACTAGTATTAATAACTAACATTTACTGGGCACTTAACACAAGCCAGGTACTATTCTAGGTGCTATCCATATGTGCTAACTTATTTAATTCTCAATAACAACTCTGTGAGGTATTTACTGTCACTACCCTCATTTTATAGATGGGAAAACAAAGGATCAGCCAGATTAAGTAACTTTCCCAAGATCCAGGATTTGGATCCAGACAGCTTGATCTAGAATCTAGAGCCTTCATTTCTAATCATTATACTATACCATACTGCTTCTATTATATAACAACTATATTTTTAAAATTTTGCTGTGATGAAAGAAAATTTATTTAAAGTCAATCTTCCCATGCATTCACAAGTCAAGTTCACAGTGAAGAGAGTAAGAAAAGTGGTGAAATTAAAAAGATTGGCAGGAAATATATCAAATGTTAATACTAGTTTGATCCCTAGGTGCTGAGATTAAGGGCAATTTTTATTTTCTTGTTTTTGCTAACTCTAGTTTCTAAATGTTCCATGGTGATGATGTATCACTTCTATAATACAATAGTAACAAAAATAAAAACATTATTTTTTAAGGAAAATGAAAATATGATCAGCTTAAAAATTCCTAAGCAAAATAGCAAATCAAGACTCCTTCCATCTTACTCTCAAATACTGTAGAGGCCACCTAGCTGATCTCTTGGCCCCCAGTCTCCCCAACACTAAACCATCCTGTTTGCCATCAGTTATCCTCTGTCATACTAGTCCCTGCTCAGAATCCAATACACAGAGCATAAAATACAGTCTTCTCGGTTTTATGCAAAGCATTTCTGAATTATTTGGCTCAAGCCTACCTTTCTACCTTTATCCACCAATACCATCCTATCAAATCCTCAGTTCTTCTAGGACAAGCATGGTAGAAGAGTCCAGGCCTCAAAGTCACATACCTTAGCCAACACAATCTCTTGGCCTCAGTTCCTTCAATGGAGAATACGTAGTTGTGAAGATTAAATCTTTAAATAGGCAAAGCATCTACCATACAACAAGCTTTCAATAAATGGTTTCTCATTATTGGTATTAATAGCCAAATGGGTTTTTATTCACTGACTCCTCAAAAAGCGTTGCATTTTTAACTTACATGCTTTATTACTATTTTACTCCTTTCTGTGTTCCTTCCCTATCTTCTAGAATCCTATTAAAATTAAAATTCCAGTTCGAGTCAACCTCCTCCAAGAAAGCTTCCCTGGCTCTGCCAAGTCAATATGATCTCTCACTCCTTTGTACTTCTATAGCACTTAGAGTTTACTCTACCCAAGTGGTGTCCTAGCTGATTTTTATTAGCTCTCTTTTCTTGTATGTACGCGAAAGTCTTAGATCTCCAATTAGAGTGTAAAATCCTTACTAGCAGACATTCCATTTTATATATACCTTCATACCTTTCTGATGTCTGACACATCACCAAGCATATACTAGATGCTTGAAAAATGTGTTAATATGATTTGTGGATTGGGAAGAAAGTTATCATAATAAAAATACTGGCTGAACATTTTTGTAGTGGACCAGGAAGCCAATGATTCTATATAAAGATAAAGTTTCTAATAAGCAGTATAATCTAATTCCACCATTTACTACCACTGACCAAACATGTAAATCATACTTAAGCTATATGATTTCTCTCTAGTCCAATATAAATATCAGCAATAAATGACCCTAGGTAAATAGCACTTTTAACTTTTCAAATGGTCTTAACATAAACCCTACTGAAATATATATTGACTTAAATTGTCTTATTAGGTTTTGTGGGGGCTCAGAACAAGTCACCCCAAGATGTGCCTCTGTGGTATGCAGATTATTTTGAGCTAAAGACAACCTAGATTCTACAGGCTCAAGAGAAACTTCTGTCCCACACCCCTTTAACTACCTAGAAGAATCTGAATTAGGGGCCTTGCCCATGATAAGAAATTATCAGAGATAACTTTCTTTGACCTATGTATATGGCAGGGTGAACTACTAATTACTGAACATCTGCTCTTCTTCTTTTTTTTTAAGATTTTATTGGGGAATTGGGGGAGGGGAACAGCGCTGGGGAATCGGGGGAAAGGGAACAGACAAGTTGCTGTCCTTTTGTTCTTCAGTCTAGTTGTGGAGGATGTTGCTTCACTGGCCAATGTTGGTATTATCATTGTGCTCTTCCCGGATGAGACAGATCAGTCGCCGGCCTCTGGACGGCCACTTACAGTGGCTCTTGCAGCTCACATCGGCTGTTGGCTGTTCATGCCAGCTGCAGGCCACTCACGGTAGCTTATGGCAGCCCACCGCAGCAGGGGCTGCAGCCTACAACGTTGCCGGTAACTCACAGCAGCCCAGCTCCAGGTCGAGCTGTTGTTCATCATCTTAGCTGTAGAGGTCAGTGTCACTGGCCCTCATGTGGGATCCAAACAGGGGCCCTGCTGCTCAGAGCTGGCATCCCAAGACAGCTCTTTAAACAACGCGCCACTCGGCCGGCCCAACATCTGCTCTTCTTATCGGCCCTGCAATGACCCTCTGAAGTCCCAATGTGCCTTACTTCATCCTTAGCTCAGAATATCATGTATATCTCACTTTGCCTTTCTGTCATTGAACCTCTCATGTATGTGGGGGTCTTTGACTCTTTCATGTATGTGGGGTTCTCATGTATATATAATTAAATGTGGTTATTTTCTCTTGTTAATCTGTCTCATATAGATTTAATTATTAGACCAGCCAAAGGAACCTAAGAGGGTAAAGTTTCTTCCTCCCCCATAGTTTCATTTGGAAATATACTCACCTCATTAAAAAAATCATCATGATAATAATAATAATTAGAGTAAATTATATATAAAAATAACTCTCCTTTAAAAAAATAAACTATAGGGCCAGTCAAGTGGCTCAGTTGGTTAAGAGTGTGGAACTCTGAGCAACAAGGTTGCTGGTTCGATTCCCACACAGGCTAGAGAGCTGCACCTGAGCTGAGCTGCCGGTGAGCTGCCAATGGGCGGTCGGATGGCTCAGCTGGTGGGAGCACATGCTCCTATCAATAAGGTTGCTGGTAGGGCCGGCTGAGTGGCGCATTGGTTAAGAGCTGGCTTGGGACAACAGAGGGCCCCGGTTCAGATCCCACATATGAGGGCCAGTGACAACGCCCTTTACAGCTAAGATGCTGAACAACAGCTCAACCTGGAGCTGGGCTGCCGTGAGTTCGCTGGCGACGGCGTAGGCTGCAGCCCCTGTGGCAGTGAGTTGCCATGGGCTACCGTGTGTAGCCAGCAGCCAGCATGAGCATCCAGCAGCCGCAGTGGGCGGCCGTCCAGAAGCTGGCGACTGATCTGCATAGGCTGCAGCCCCTACTACAGTGGGTTGCCATGGGCTACCATGTGTAGCCAGCAGCCAGCCTGAGCGGCCAGCAGCCAGTGTGAGCAGCCGTCCAGAAGCTGGCAACTGATCTGCCTCGCCCGGGAAGAACACAATGATGGTGCCAACTTGGGCCAGTGAAGCAACGTCCTCCACAACTAGACTAAAGAACAAAACGACAATAACTTGTCTGCTCCCCTTCCCCCAACTCCTCAGCGCTGTTCCCATCCCCCAATTCCCCAGTTTAAAAAAAAAAAATTAAGTAAACTATGTCACCTCAAGTGAGTGCTAAAAGTTAAGGGTAGATAGTAGGGTATAATTTAATTTTAATTTTCATTCACTGATTTAATTACAATTCCTCATAAAGCAATTAAATAATTATAAAGACTACAGTATTTTCTTTTTGATAAATTACTAATTCAGCAATAGAAAACAACTGGTCTAATGAGCTGCTACTAAGAGTGAAGCAATTTGAGAGACAGAAGGAAGTTGCTTTATTAAATGCAGTTAATTACCAGAAAAGTATGTCTCAATAGGTAAAAAAAGACCTACAACACAGCTAAACCCCAGCAAGATAGATTCAGCAGGAAATCATGAATCCCTCTTTTTGGCTGTTAATGCTGTTCTAACAAGCCTCCAATAATGTTTCAGCTTTCTCACTGATCCCCAGAAGTAAAGAAAGGCCCATTACCTAAGGATGTTGGGATGGGAGAGTCTATTCATGAGCTGCACTTCCTTCAGCATGTTTGCCCGGTTACTGCTCAACGTGTTCATCTTAAGAGCCATCACCTGACCAGAAGCTCGGTGGCGTACCTGGAAAATAACACAGAACAAGAGGCTAAGGGCAGCAGCTACATATGAGGTCAAAGTCTCCACATGCAGAACATGCCATGGTGTGTTAGTGCCAGTTTAGATAAAATAGACATGATAGGGGGTGTTTTTTCTGTAAACTCTGATTACATTAGGGTCTCACTTCCATTAATGAAGATGAATTTATTTAAGTGCAAAATTGTTTCACATTAAGCTGGCCAGAAAAACATTGTTAATAACACCTCAAGAAATCATGTCTTCTTTTTTGTAGTACCCTAGAAAAAAATTGGGAACATTTATTAGGCTGTTTCCTCATGGCCAACATTGCTGAATCTTAGGACACTAACAGGAAAAAGTCCCTTTCGTAGACTTTTAAGTGTGTACAGAAGAGATATACACATAAGCCTTATATAACACTTAATGGACAATAAAAATGTCTTTATAGGACACTAAAGACACATCCTCAAAATCTCCAAGCACCATAAAATACATATCTATAAGAGAAAAAAAAAGCATTGCATGTTAAATATAGAAAAAAGTCGATGAACCTTTTAAAGCTAATGTAGTAACCCAGCCCAAAGTACCTTATAATCATTTAAACACACTCAAGTCAGATACAAAACATAAGCCACACCACACACACTATTACCCATACATACAGTGGAAAGTCCACTTCTAAAACATTCATCCTCTACAGAATTCAATCTATTTTACATGTAAAAAATTATTTCATAACTTAAATCCATACTCCACAGGTTTCAAAAATCACAATACTTTACTTGCAAGAAAATTAACTATGTTTTCACCTTCTAAATGTGGTCTCAGTAGTAGCAAAGGAAGGTCACCAGAGAAAATAGTTTTTCTTAGCCAAAACAAACTCAATTATTCACTGAGATGTGTGTTTCCTACTGAGAAATTATGAATGAGGCAATAGAAAAATAAAGTGCCAAGGACCTCATTACTTTCTGGTTTAAAAAAGTCATGTCAGATCTTGCACAAAAGGGACTTACTATGCAAAAATGTCATCATCCTATGGACCTGAAGAGTATTATTTCAGTAATGTTGTACTTGACCAATTGAAAATTCCAGTAGAAAACGACAATCTGCTTAACTCTTCAATCTCCAGAAATTCCTTGAAATGACAATAGCCCCAGAAGTTTAGCATATCATTAATACAGGACAGATATCACAGCTTATCTCAGAATTCAAAGAAACAAGGTTCAGAGTGTCCAGACAGAAGAAGAGGGAGGAAGAAGGAAAACACTCAGAGCCACAGGAACTCTGATCAGAAAAACAGAGGCAGAACATTGGCTGTCTCTCCCCTCTTCTAGATCACTTAGTGAGATTTGGAACCCAACTCTCTTCCTAGTGCATCAATGATTCTGTTGTCATGTACCTCGTGATTGATAAAAGAGAAGTGACTTTCCTTTTCAGATCCTGCATGGATAAGTTAAAAGAGACATTTATATACAAAGAACACATTGACAGTATTTTTCCAACTCTATTTACAGAAGACATCTGTGTTTTAATAAGAACTCTCCATTCTGAAAGTCACTCTTATTTTTTTTATTAGTTTCAGGTATACAAAACAATGTAATAGTTAGACATTTACACCCCTTTTTGTTTCCATCATCTGAAAACTATCACTCTGACTTTTTAACAAAACGTCTGCTTTTAAGAAAGTTTGATATTAAAACAATGTGAAATTCAGGAATAAACAATCTGTGTTTCAAACTAATCAGAAAAAACAACAAAACCCTACTTCCTTAAACAAGTGGACAAGATGATGCATATGTTCTTAACTCATTGTATTTTGGCTTTCATCTGCATAAAATATTCTTCTCCTTTCTTCTATTTAGCCCCTCAAATTCTACTTATCTTTCAAGCCACACTCAAACATCCCCTCCTCGCTGAAGCCTTCCTTGACTCTCTCTGGAAACTATTCGTGGTTTCCTTCTTTATACTACCTCAGAACAACATTCATAAACACCAGTATACCATTTATCACATAGTTCTATATGTAAATATCTCACTAGGCTATAAAGCATCTTGAGACCAGGAAGTATATTGTATTCATCTTTGTCTTACAGTGCCTAGGAGGCCTGGCACATTGTAAGGGCACAGTGAGAACAATAGCAACAGTTAAATACTTCTAATATAATTTCTAAGGGCCAGCAAATCATTTATTTATCCAGGTGATTTCTTTGGGGGTGAGGTGATGAGGAAAAGAGTGCTTTTCTTTTCTTTTTTTTTTTTCTTGGTGGCAAAGGTTGTGGGGAGGATGTAAACAGAAAGGAGTATAAGATTTTGTCAAAATTTTCTGGCGTTTACCATCTAGAAAGGGATAAACAATAAACTATATGGCTAGTCAGATTAGAAAGAGGAGAATTAAATACAGCATAAGAATTATTTATATAGGGCCAGCCGAGTGGCGCATTGGTTAAGAGCTGGCTTGGGATGCCAGAGGGCCCCGGTTCGGATCCCACATATGAGGGCTAGTGACACTGCCCTCTACAGCTAAGATGCTGAACAACAGCTCAACCTGGAGCTGGGCTGCCATGAGTCGCCGGAGACAGCGTAGGCTGCAACCCCTGCTGCAATGGGTTGCCATGGGCTACCATGTGTAGCCAGCAGCCAGAGTGAGCG